GAGCAGGGAGCCCGACGCGGGACTCGATCCCGGGACTCCAGGATCATGACCTGAGCCAAAGGCAGTCGCTTAACCAACTGAGCCACCCAGGCGCCCGGTCTCTTCCCTTTCAATACACCGTCCACTCTACCACAGTCTAACCTCCCTAGAAGGTACCTAAGAAAAACTAAAAAATCTTCAGCTTGCCATGGCCTACTGAAGAACACAATCTGGTTGTGACATTTAAGGATCTGCACAATATGTGCTCTGAAGCATAACTAGGATATGTCTGCATCTCTTAACTTTTCCCCATGTCTTCTTGCTTCTGGGCCCTTACACATAAAGCCTCTTTGTAATCCTGCAAGCTCAGTCTGGGCTAAGACTCCCTGAGCTCTGTAAGGTCCATATCCAAGGTCAGCTTCTCCAGGAAGCCTTTACTGAGCCTCCCAAAGCACATGTAGGCCTTCTCTTCTCGTCTGTCCAGATGGCCCTGGAATGCTCTTAACATATATGGGTGCTACACAGGACCAGGGGTTCAATAGGGCCTGGCAGTGAGGGGCTGCTGGTGAAGCTCAGGCTATTTTAGGGTGCACTGATGGACATCAGATGGTAATGGTCCCAGGATCAAACTATGACACTGAAGTCTACCAGATGGCAAAGGGGCCTTTTGTAAACCACGTCACGGAAGAAATCAGCAAATAATCTGCACCTCTAGTAGGAACAACTCCAGAAAGAAATGATCATTATTTTCCAGGAAGGCAGAATGTGGAGCATGGGCAGAAATGAGAGTGAAGTCATTCTCAGCCCAATGTTTAAGGAAAAGCTGTAATAACCAGAGCTGGCTCCCTAAACAGTGACCTGTCCACTCCAGGAGAGATCAGTATAAGCCAGTGATGGTGCCAGGAATGTTGTAGAAAGAGTTACTGCGTGAGTGAAAAGTTGAGGATGGGCTACAGAGAGAGCCTTAGAGTGATTTCTACTGTGAATGACACCACATTCATATCAGGTGAGAAGAACGCCCAGCCCATAAACTCTTGGAGGTCAAGGACCAGCTAGAGGTGGGATGTAATACAGCCGCCTGGAGAATGAATATCACCTGTTGACCACACAAGGATTCCATGTGGTCCAACGTTTTTAAGGATTACAAGAAAGTTCAGGTACTGATGTGCGGAAGACAGCAACGAGAAGGGACTTTTTACTGAACCTCCGATCTCACTCATTAGCATAATATATTGATGGGCACTGAAGTGCTTGCTTTCGACCCTGCACTTAAGCTAATATGATCTCCTCTGCTGGTCAATAAATGCTTTGCAAGTAGCAAACCTTTTTAAGAAACAGAAGTTAAGAGGATGCTGGAAAATATTTCTAGCATCACACAGAGCAAGCACAATGACCATGCTTGGTCGGGGGGAGTCCGATCTCAGGGTACTGTGTTCCTCAAGTAGTGTAAGAGCGGGTCCTGGGCCACAGGCAGTGTCCCCATGGGCACAACAGCACCGCTGGGTGGCCGCTCTGGGGCGAGGGGCCTAAGAAAGAACACGGCCCCTTTTTAGGTTTCCGCCTCCCTCCGATGGGCAGGTAGGACCTGTGTACTGTTCTGCTACCACCATTGAAGCAACGTGGAGAAGGGGAGCTGTGCACGTCACTCTGCACCAACCCTAAGTGCTATCATTATGGAGCAAGGGCCACAGGGTTGACAAAGAGAATTACGTTTGCTCCGGAAGTAAAACAAAATGACAACAAAACAGATAGTACTACTTATAGCATATTTAAGGAACACAGTGCACTGTTTACTGAGCTCTAGGTTATGATTTGAAATTAAAAGGTCAGCCAATTTTTTTAAGAATATTTATTTGAGAGAGAGAGCGCACAAGCTGGTAGAGCAGCAGGCAGAGGGAGAGGGAGAAGCAGACTCCCCGCTGGGCAGGGAGCCCAACGAGAGGCTTGATCCCAGGACCCCGGGATCATGACCTGAGCCGAAGGCAGATGCTTAACCAACTGAGCCACCCAGGTGCCCAAAAAGGTCAGCAATTTCTATTAAGATAATAATTAAAGAGCTCACATGTGAACAGGGTAATAGTAGAAGGATGATTAGTGAAGAATTAGTGTGAGTGGGTATTTAGCTGATGCATTACAGGTTTTTAAACAGGAATATATGTCATTTCAAGAAATAGATGTATATTTAATTTTCAGTGAGAGTAAAATATACATAATAGAAAGTTAACTATCTTAACCATTTT